TCTAGCTTGAAGATGCGCCCTAGCAGGACTCCACTGTACATGGAAACCCAAACGGAAGTCAACAGCTGCAACTGCAATACGATCAGAGACCTTGCAACAGCTAATATACCTAGCAATAGGTAGGGGAGTTTTTTTTTTCTATTTTGTATTTTGGTATAGGTCGTCTGTGAACTGTTGGCGGCGGCGGTCGGCGGCTCGGTTTCTGTTATCAGTGGGAGAACAACAATGTCGCAAAGAAACCAATGCAAATGACCGGAATAAAAAGATTTTGGAATGCGAAACACAGTTTCCAGCAAAAAAAAAAAAAAAAAGKGGGACAGTGTAGCGAATTGAGAGATGGACTGAGAGAGGGACTGAGAGAGCGACAGAGAGTAGAGAGTGAGGGACAGAGAGAGAGAGAGAGAGAGGGAGACAAACAGCAACAGGGAAGTGTGGAAAGCAGAAAAAAAAAGCAGAAAATAAAAATATTTAGGTGAACGAATTCATTACAGTTCGAAAAGAAAATTATGAAAAATGTCTATAAATATACACAACGAAATATGTGAGTAAATATATTTCACAAAATGTCACTAACAAATTAAAAAGTGAAAATAAAAATTGATACTTGAACAACGCACATTTTGACTTTGTTTTTCGAACGAAGCATTTTCCATTAGCACCAGACAGCTGCCCCTTGCGTAGGCTCTCGAGATTTTTGTTTGGATTTGTTGGGTTTATAAATAACATTCATTTAGTACACATCAGACAGCATATTTTTCGAAAATATAAACCAAACTGAACTCGAACATTATCATAAAAGTCATTGTAGTCATATGTAGTTGCACGACGCGAAAATGGCGCAATTTGAGTTCTGGAAGCCTACACGTGCTGTGTGACTCAACCACAGATAACCATGAAACACAAACACTATTTTAGTTTTAAGTACATGCATACATAATGAGTGTGTATATTGATGTATTTATATATTTTTGTTGTTGATAATATTGCTATAATATTTTTTTGTAATTTCTTTGCGTTCGAATTGAAAAAAACAAACTGCAGCCCGCGCTCTGAAGTCAAGAACTGAAACAGAGCAACAAACAGCAGCAGGAAAATTCAAAACACCACAGTGAACGTAAGAGAGAGAGGGAGAGAGGGAGAGAGAGGGTGGGCAAAGCAGCAAGCGAGAGAGCACGAGAAATTGAGAGAGAACGGAGAGAAAAACGCCGGCTATGGCACAGTGAGGCAACAACGATGAATAAAACGGCAAAAATTGTATCGAATTTATATGAAATAATTATATTGAAAAAATATTATATATTTAAAATAGGATTAAATAAAATTAATTCGAAAATATAAGAGTATACTTTTTTATACGAAATTAATTTAATTTATTAAATACATTTATAAATATAAAGAAAATTAAAAATGAATAACTGCATACAAAACACAAATGGAAAATCGAAATACTTGAAATTTTTACGAATCAGTGAACTCATTACAAACTCATTAAAGAATTTTTTTTTTTTTTTTTTTTTTTTTTTTTTTTTTTTCTAGTATGTTATGTTTTGTTATCTATATATAAATTGACAATGATTTTAATACCATGTACCCATTAAAAATATGAATTCCGGGTATATAGTTTTTGTGAGTATATAACATATTATCAATAGGAAACAGTCAAAACCTATAGATAATAATCAATAATATAATATCATAAATATTTTGTAATTTATCCATAAAATTTAAAAGTTCTGCGACTTGCTAACATGATTTTTTAATGAATAACTGAATCGCAACATTCTCGGCGACTCCTAACTAGACCATTATTTCTTGTTTCTGTTCTATATTTGGTATTTTGTCATATGACGACAATTTTCATTGTTAATTGGAATTAGTAATTGAGTGCACAAGCGACCGCAAAAGGAATTGCCAGAGTCTGCAGTTTGAAATTGATTTTTGCCAAGGGTTTGCTGGGCGCGCAAGGAGAATAAACCCAGCGTAATTCGCTTGTAATTACAATGTACACAGTGCCTGTCAATGTATGCGATTCCATTTGGCTGCCATTGAAAATATGCACATACATATGTACGACTGTTTGTGTTCAGATATATGTATGTATATATGTATATTTATATTTCAATATCAGGTTCGTGGCATTTCCATATCGATCGACTGACACGAGCTACAAAAAAGGAACAGAAGAAGAAAAAGCAGAGGTATGCTTGGCCTGTTGTCAGGCAGGCTGAAGGATAACGATGGGTTTGCTACTGGTGCCTTCAGACTGCACAACAGATATGCAAGATATGTGCAATATGTGTACAAATTGTTTTGTGTGTATGTGTGTGTGCACATTATCCTTGTACTTGAACAGCATGCACTAAGTGCACACATAATTGAAACCAAAGGACATACGCCTCTGCGCCCCTAAATGCAGTCCTGCATGAGTCGCATGCCGTAACGAATTTCTCGCTCTGCATTAAGCTATCTATCGATGAGAAATTAGTTTGTTTACGTGTTAATTCAACGATTTGAGGAGGCAATCTAATGAAATTAAAATCCACTTAAAGTAAGTGCTCTTAATTGTCTAATTGTAGTACTTGACTCAAAGTCAAATCATGAAATTTGATTGATAAGAAATTTTAAGAGCACTTCGAACTAAATAAATAATGCTAGCCAACATTTTATAACCCATTTAATTGATAGAAGTTTTATTCTGTAAGCAAAATTGTTTAAGAAAATCAATTATATATGTATTTGAATTCTTTTTTTTTTTTAAGACAATCATTAAAGAAAATCATCATAATTATAAGAAAAATAATCATTTCAGCACTTCTGTAAAACTTTCTTAATTTCGGATTTCTTGTCAAGTATTTGGGAGCAACCCAGCGCAAGTTTAGTTTTCTTAAACACATTTTCAAATCACAAAAGACAGCCAATATAGGCAACCGCAGGAACAAGGCTTTTACGCCACTAAAGGGAATAAAACTTTTTGTTGAAGGAAACCCTGTTGGGTCAACAAGAAAAATTAAAATGAAGATGAAGACGTAGACGGTCACAATGAAGCTTGATGTGTAATAGACTTAAGTTCTAAGTGTGCGAGCTCAAAGCTATTTCTTTTTCCTAGATTTCGTTAAAAATATGACGAATGAAAAAACGTATTAATCCTGCCTCATCGCACACTTAGTAGCAACAAGGCGACGCGTTATGTAAGCGGCTGGCGTTGCTTCAAGGACGTTCGCAACAAGACCAAGGTCCGCAACAGACAAAAAATAACAGTTGCTCGAAGCAGAGGCCGAAACTAGTAAAAAAAATAAGTGACAAAAAATACGGACCTCGAATAAGATAATGATGAAGGAGAAGAAGAGCCGAAGAAATTTATTACACTTTTGCAATGGTCATGTCCGAAGGACGAAAACACGCAGTACTCATCTAGTAAATCAGTGGCATAGAAAGGCAAATACTGGTTCGGGCGTGACAAAGAGATAATAGTTATTGCTTAGGCTATTGCCAAAACTACTAAACGGGATGACTCGACTACCAGATACTCGGCGTTTAAGTACTATTACAAATATTTTGCTAAATACATTTTACATTTATTGTTCACTAAAAGGATTCGTTGGAAATATTTACTGAATTTTCCTTACCTATCTCATAGATGTATTTGCAGACGTTTGAGCTACGCTTTGTTTGCTTAAAATACCTCTGGCATATACAACGAACAAAGCAAACACATACAAAGTAGATGTGTACATAAGCTTATACCTAAATACATTCAAAGTGTCAGTGTTGGGTAAAGCTTACACAATGCTAGTGGTTTTGTCTTTAATGGCAATACGATAATTAAAACTGATATCGATAGACACATACCAAGCCTGACTGATCAAAGGAAACAAAAAACGAAAGAAATGTTTTGAAATGCGAGACTTGCAGTTACAGAGTGTGCATGATTGTGTGTATGTGTGTGTGTGTGTGTTGTGTCTGTGTCGCATGGCATTGTCCACATGACAAAACAAAATCATTTACTCAACAGCAGTACAACAACAACAACAATCCTAGCGACTGCAATGCTGCGCCACAAACAAGCGCACACACTCAAACACAAGAAACACACGCACACATACAGAACGTAGCATACTTTTGAGCAGCGCTTACAGCTTCGTCTATATGTCGCCATTGTTGTTATTATGGCTGGGAGCTCGCTTGGCAGCGACAACGAATGTGACGTAAAAATAAAAGAACGAAAACGTCGGCAGTGCCGATGCCGATGCCGCTGTCGATGTGACAACTTGTTTTTGTTTAGCGTAGGTACCGTTAGCGTGGGCGCGCGCCTTACACGTGACATGCGCATTGAACGCAGCCGCCTGCAAAAACAGATGTTTGCGATTAATTGCGTGGGAGAGCTCAACAAAAAAAATAAAGCAGCTAGACCCAGAGCTAGAAAGAGACAGAACGAGAGCAAAGCGTACCAATCGTACCAAATTATTACAAACAAAAAATCACCATTTTCGATTTAACAAAACAAGAACATGTATGCAAAAGCAAACTACAAAAATTACATACATACGAAATAGAAGTTAATGGCAGTTAAAAGACTTTCAATTAAATAATCCCCGAAATGTTGCTTCATGAGAAGCAGGTACACAGTATTAAATAAACGAAAATTGTACCGAATTTTGAACATTTATCCTGGGCAGCCCGGCCACAGACGGCAGCTAAGTACTTGCTTCTTTTTACTGCAAAGGGACGACAAAGGACCCTTTTTCGGTTAGCTCTAAATGAGCGAATTAACATGCCAATTGACAAACTCGCATTATTATAATGAATTCGGGCTTTATAATCCATGGATAAGCCATGTGAAAATCGTCAGTTTATTATGCAATTATTTTCATATTTAAAAGCGCTTACACAGCGTGTGCTTGCGCATAGTTTAATGTACATATTCAATTATGTAAGCTGATGATATTCTAAATTCATATATAGATATATTCGCAAAATAATAATAATTGAAAAGTACGTACTTTCTCCGTCTGGTTAAATTGTGCAGCAACAGCGACTTTTAAACAGACACGCCTATCGTAAGGCCGTCATTTTTGTCTGTTGTTTGGTTTTGATAAATTTCTGTAGTCATATTTGTATTGTTCATTCGGTTAAGAGGTAAAAACACTTGTTTGGCTTATTACCCGCACGCCGCCAATCGCATAATAATTGATGTAATTGAAATAACACTAACAAACTTTAGAACACGCACACACTTCGCCCGTAAACTGTTACTGTCAATTGGTATTGGTGGGTGGGTGCAGGCGACGGCAGCGCCCGTCCTCCTCCACCTCCTGCTGCTTAAAGCGAACGCTTGAGCACGTTAAAGTTTTGCATTAGATTTGCCGTTTTCATGTAAACAGCAAACAATTTGATGTGATTTTTGTGAAAATTTGTGTATTTATTAAAGTAGTCTTGCCGCCGGGCCATTGCCATTGCCAATTTGTTGAAGCACGCACTGAAGACTAAAATTTTCTCGAGCTTCACCTTCACGTGTGGCCACAGGACTTTTGCTAGCGATATATCCTTTGCAACAAAATGTACTAAAAATACTCATAACGGCGTTGGGTGCACTTCAGGGTTGCTGCTGGGTGAAGAAAAAGCGATAAAAAAAATACAGATACAAAATACACATTATCGTTAAGTGTGTGTGTGTATGAATATATCCTTCACTTTCTAAAACAGGTCTAAAAATGTTCAAATAATATTTCATTCAGTTTGTAACTGATTATCGATGTGTAATTTCGATATTTATCAAATGATAGTGAAATTATCGATAGCAAACTTGAAATGCGTGGTTAGGATTATTCGAATTCAAAATTTAATTTACGTTCATATATGGACGAATTGTATTTAAATTGTGCATAATGCAGGCAAATTTAATAATTGCAACCATAATTATTTTTTAATCTATACATTGTTTATTTTGTTATTGACTTTTTTTTTTTAATTAGGTACTACAAAAAATTGTAAAACTTTCACAAAATTGTTTTTTTGCCTTACGTTAAAAGAGTAAATAAAATTGTATGGATTTTTTATATTATTGTTAATTAGGTTTTTTATTCTTAAACCAAATGCTCTTCACAATACGGGAATTCGGCCTCATGCGTTCAGTAGTTCATTCTCGAGGAGCGTGTCGACTTCGAGATACTGTATTGACGATCATCACCTCGCGCACTGCCACCACCTCCACCGCCACCACGTTCTCGATCGAATTTGTCATGTGAGCGTTCTCTGGATTTGTCCTGCAGATGACAGTAGGAAATGTTGTCGTTAGCCATCGCATTTTGCTTGCTAGTATTGAGGACTTACTCTATGGCGTTCCCGTTCGCGGATGTCCTCATCGCCGTTTTGTGCTAAAAATTATACATTCTTGAATGTCCTGCATACTGATTCACTAAATATGCCTCACCTTCACGCCGACGCTTGTGGTCGCTGGTGCTGGACTCCTCGTTGCGGTCTCGCTTCCGTCCTAGCTTACGATCCTTGCGCGCATCACGCTCCTCATCAGACAGCTTGTCCTTGTTGCGCTCTTTGGTCTTCAGGCCGCGCGCTTTCTTCACACTATCTACGAGCTCTTCTACCTTCTGTAATGGCATTTGATTAATATGGATTGTAAAAATCGCTGATAACTATGAAATGGAAATAAAAAAAAAAAAGAAACTAAAAAAGTAATTAAGTAATTAAATATTAAGACCAAGCCCAACAGCACATTCAAAGTACTTCCCAGCCCGTTTCCACTTTACTCCTGGCCCGCCCCTAAGCTGAGTGTCCGCCCCCACAGCACGCTGATCACTTACCCGTCTGCACACAATCAAGAGCAACGAATAAACAACTAAACTGCAATCGGCTTTGTGCTGAATTGTAGAGTCGGATCAGTGTTTGGCAACGCTGGGGGCTCAATCGTCCAGTGGAAATAGTGTTCCATTATTTTGATAGTTTGTATTGTTTGTAGATTTTTTTTTTTTTTTTTTTTAATGTAGTATTTTTCCTGATGATTTTAAAGATGTTTGATGCTGATGAATTGGTCCAATGTCACGGGAAGACTTTTGTGATTTGTTTATTGTTGATTTAATTATTCTCCAATGACTCCTTTTTAGTGGAATGTTTTCATTGATTTAAGATTTAAGTAAATCTCTCTTTGTAGAATTATCAGCGGGTCCACGTTTTCAAAATAGTAACATCACAGGTAGGTAACAAGGACTGTTTACGATGTTTTTCGAAGTCAGCGTGTTGAGTCCAGGACTGGTCTATCGTCCATCTTTGTGTTTTTTAATCCAAATCGGCAAGGTTTTTAACTGTAGATTCCAGTCTGGCGAATTTGGAATACTTTTTGTTAAATATATAGCTGACACATCTGGATCAAAATTCATGTGTTGAAGGAATCAGGAACAGGACTCCGTGTAGCAAATTGAGTTTTACGTTAAATGATCTCTGGAGTGCTTTGATTTTTTGGAATGTTTTTTTTTTTTTGCTTTTTTGTTTTTTTTTTTTTTTTTTGCCACAGCGTGAGATATTTTATGATTTTTGTGTAGCTCTCGTCTAAACGAAGTTTTGGTCTGCTGGTTGTTTTGGTCTCCAGGTTCTGCCAGCTCCACTTTATTGTTTTCCAGATCAAGGGTATCCAATGGTTTTAGATGTGAATGGCTCCGATTGATTGTCTTTGTTTCTAGATTGAATCAACCAGATTGTACTGTTTCTAAGGCGGCTGTGTGTGTGTTGATGTGATCTGCTCTTTATGCTTCCAGTATATGAGCATCTCATTAGGAATGTTTTGGAAAGACTCGTCTATGGCGTTGTTGATCCAATGATGATTTAAAGTTTGTTGTCTATAGTATACTGACGTACTCCTATTCCCACGTTGTTTTATTTTTTATTTTTTTATTTAT